TGAAAGAATCACTTTGGAGGCCCTAGTAGAGAAGCAAAGCCCAGGGAAGGAGAGCCGGACAACCCTGGCCAGGAACTGGAATCCAGCATCTGTCACACGCAAGTTTCCGACTTTGGCGACTTATATATAGACCTTCGTGGTATCTTAATTTCCTCATTTCCAAGTGAGAAAAATAACAAGTTCTACTAAAAATGTCTTTCAAATAAAATTAAAGTATACAATACAAGTAAAGCACTTACAACAGTGGCATGTTCATCATCGGTGCACAATGAACCGTTAGCAAATACTTATATCATCCCGGGCACATTTTACCCTCTCACATCCTGGATCATACTCATCAGCAGATGCTGTTGGAGACACCTCCATGTTACAACAGGACCCGGCCATGTCTTGCAACCATCTCTGCCATCCCTGTTGTTGAGTAAGCAAGAGGCTTCTATGCTATCCTCTTACTTCCTTCCAACCTTAATCTGATTAGTGTCCTCTGCTTACAACTCGCCAGTGGTTACCAAATTCACCTCCAGCAAAATCTAAAGTCACTATAATGCTAATGAGAAACTACTGTGTGCCCATCACTTGACCTGTGGATAGGCTGGCTCCTGTCATTCTACACCTCCCAGGCACTGTGACACCTTAGGGTCTGTGCACTTGTCCTTTCCTTCACCTGTAATTACAGGACTTTTTTTTCACATCCATAAGGTGCTTATTCAAAAGTCTCTTCTCTCTGAGGTCTTCCCGAACCTTTTAGAAATTATACAGGACCCACAAACACACATACACCTGCTCTGTCCCACTTGCTTTGCTCATCTGTGTACCACCTCCGTGCAATCTGATACACTGCACAGTCTCCTTATTTAATGTGCATCACTTGTGTACACGTTCCACGATGGCAGTGAGATTTGGTCAGCGCTTTTGTTATTTTCCTCCATGCTCTGCTTACGTTGCTGGTAATAAATTAGGCATGTAGTAAATATATAACAAATAAATGAATGGCTAAATGGCTAAAAGACAGTATGTAGATTTATTCAACATAAATTCACTGATGTGCTACTGTATGCTAGGCCTTAGGCATGTAGAATTTAGAATATTGAACCTACTTTCATACAACTTGGTATGTACTGGTGAGACAAGACAGTAGAGAATGTGACCATATTTTCTTAAGTGTGATGATAAATTTTAGTAGTTATGCTATAATATATAGCAATGAACCTAAATATTTCATATTTTGCACTCACACACATATTTACACCTCTTTGTATATGTGGATCTTCTTCCAAAATGAACATGTGTATACTTGATAGCACCTGGCCTTTGGTTTAAAGGTTCTTCCTCCCCTCTTTACGGTTTGTTTTAATTTTTTTTTAAATTACCAATGCTTTCTCTGAACAGGTCTCTAGAATCAGTTAAGTAAATATTTCTTTCTGTTGTGTGGAACCTCTGGGTGATGGGAGATCAAAGACTTTGTTGACTTGGAAGTTGCAGGTTAAGTAAGTCTGTTATATGTATTGTTCTCTGTGAGTAGATAAGAGACATCAGAGGTTGCTGTAAGAAGATTGAAGTGATTTGTTAGAAAGTAATCATTATTCAGGGGTTTCAGGTAGAAAAATCTAAAACGCTCAAATATTACCAACTTCAGACTCATCAGAGTGGCATCCGCCAATGGTCTCCTCACTGTGGAAGGAGATTTCAATCTCGATAAATGGCTAGAGTCCTCGTCATCTTCAGGGGATGTCTGAACTGCTCATCACAGAATGCAAAACTGTCATGATAAAAAGAATAATCATGATAAGGTAAAATGAAAAAAAAACAAATTAAAGTGGGACCTAAAATCTAATTAAGACTGCTAACAATGAAAATATAGCATGAGAAAAAAAATCACATTCTGAAACCAAGATGGTTTTATATAGAGCTCTTCAAGGGCACAACAGTGGGCCATCAATCTGACACTCAGAAGGTACCAAGGTCAGAGTTAAGATTTTAAAGCACATTCCTTAATAATGTATTGATTGAACTTTAAGGCCTTTATGATGTGACCTCGATGGTAACTTTAAATGCATAAAAATTTAATGAACTATAAAAATATTAAACTCTTAAAAAATGTTCCCTCCTTTCTTTGCTTTTTTCATGTATTTGAGATATAGTTTAAATATTTTAATACACTTATATATTATACATATTTAAACATCTACATATAAATATTCATATGTATACATGCATATGTAGTGATATAAGTAATATGCTAGTGAATATATATATGCATGAATGTATGAACATATATTCACTGTAATTTCAGAGTTATTTCTTGGGTAAAATCCTCATGGGTCCTGTTATGAAGACCATGTTCCCATTCATAGACAAGTACTCCTCGTGGAGAAAGAAAAGTACAGTACAATTCCAACTTCTACTCCCACCTCAGCCTCTGGACAGGAACTGCTCTTACTTGGGTAGCTGCTCTGTAGCAAACCTGTAGCTACTATGTACCGCTTCTGTCCCTCAAGCATCTGGTCAAAAAAGAAAAAGGAGCACAGGTTGTTTTCAAAGACATATTATTATAAGAACATAACTAAACCAGTGTTAGGAACTAGTAAAGGAAAAAACAACACTGAGTTCAAAGTAACAGTTAAAGTATCAGTTAAAGTAACTTTAAGAGGCAAACACCTCCTCTAAGATAGGAAGAGGAACAGGAAGGAGGTGGTTGGGTATATCAGAACAGAGAAGAGAAGCCTTATGGCGGCCGAGGATGCCAAGAAATCTAGAAATTAAAATCAATAAAGAGGCGAAGGGGTATTACCAAAGCAGTGCTGATGGGAGCAAAGGAGAGGCGCACATTTCTTCCCTCCTCCAATCTTTCAGCGTCTATTTATTTCCCCTATTGATAGAAAACTGCGAAGAGCCAGGGGATAAGTGAGAACTGTGGTTTCCATTGTCCCAGCCCCTGCAACACAATAGAGTCTAGAAGGCTGAATTCAAAGTGCGAAGCAATAACTTAATAACTGGTATATTGATTAAGTACGCAATTGTAACTTGCAGGTGTTTGAAGACTCAGTTATGTTATTTCTCCAAAAACGACTACCAGCGATGCTCTATTGATATTGCCACCTCTGCCCCTGGGCCGCTAACTTCCTTAATAGCACATTAGTTTAATCCTATGCATCATAGACACAGTTATTGAGACAGATTCTTTTGGATCTTACCGCTTGACCTTTTTCTTTTCATATTTTCAATTTCACATTTTATTCAAAGCTTTTCTCTCTCAAATTCAGTCCCCCACCAGTGCAAGTTAAATTGACGTCTGGAGCAGCCTGGGGTTTAATGAGGGCCCAAATCCTGTTCTTTCGCCTGCCTCCTTGCATTCCTATGCTTACTATTCAGGTTGTGATGGGAAGCTATTAAGAGAAAGCAAATGCCATCTTCTTTTATGGCTCTCTGCGGTAAATTTGATGTCTGCTCCTTGGTTACTCATGCTGACTTTTCTAGTTTATCTTCTATTTGTTCAGTTGACAGTGGTGGTGTCATAAGGAAGCCCTGCTGAATTCTAAGTAGTCTAAGCAATGCTGGCCCACTGGAAGTTCCAATAATGTCTGTCTGTCCCAAATTAAGCAAGTGCATCTTTGCCCTATGCTGGGTTTGTGCCCCATAATTGCATCTCCTTCTGACTAACAACCCTGAACGTCATGGACGAGAGGTGGTCGACTCTCTGTGACTCTTTGGCATTGAGTGTTGTTGATGGGTACACTTTCCCTCACTTCTCCCCTCTGCCCCCCCTGCCAAGTCTTGCCCATGGCGTTGTCCATTTCTGGCAGCCCTGGGCAGATCAGTGAGTAGGCAGATATTCAACCAGAAAAATAAACAGTCTCTACCCAGCCACTCACTCACTTTATAAGATATTTTCTTGTACCCAAGCCAAAGGCTGTGAGTGGCCCCTTTCCATTACTGCTTACATTCATCCAGGTGGTGAAAGAGGAGATGGCGGAGTTGTTTCTGTTGCCAGGTAACTCTAAGATTGTCTTTGAGATTTAGCTGTTTCTAATAGCTGGGAGCTCCCTACACTTAGATTGGGCCCTTCACCAATCATGTTCTCTACCGATTCCAGGAGCCCCACTCCACACAACTCTGCACATGAATTCATTTAGTCATAACAACACCGTATGAAGTCTGATGGCTACTATCCTCTAAAAATAGGAAAACCGATAGTTCTGTAGCTAGTAAATGATAGATCTAGAGTTGAGGGAAATTTAATTCTAATCAAACGTTTCACTTTATCTGGGAACACTGGCCTGGCCTTCAGAACATTTAAGAAACTCATATTTGAATGGGTTAGAAAGGGATCTAAATGTGACCCTTCTCTGACGATAATCCCTGGAGTTCCTTTCCAGGGATTAATATGAACAGAATGGAATTAATGTAAATAGGAGAGGAATGTTGGCCCATAGTATCTGAATACAATGAGTAAATCCTAACATGAATTTTAATGTTGGCTTGTTTTTCTTTTTAAGGTTTGTATATTTGAACTAGGCAGTTAATCTTTTCATGTCCAATTCTTTACTAGTAAACAGAAAAAACAATAGTTTCTATTTCATTGGATTATTGTGAGGAACAACGAACCAGTTACAAATGAGGAGCATGAAATGCTCCTGGGCAAAGAATAAGCTCACGTCCGTTCTATTATTATCATCACCCCATTCGTACAGGAAACATAAAGACAGAGGCCTCGGCATTTCAATACTTTGGTACCAACTCCAAAAATACTTCAAACTTTGTGAGTTGTGAAGTGTTGCCTCATGATGTGGATTGGATAAAGAACTATGGAAGCCTACTCTCTCTGTACCACTTCCCATCATTTTAGAAATTCATACACATTTCCTTTGGCTCTGTTTAAAAATTTGGGTCGGTTTTAGGAATGCTGTTTTGTCTTTCCTTTTTGTTACTTTGTTAAATAAATGGGGGGTGCTGTGTTGCTTTACTGCCCCCCTCCTTCCCTTTGTTCTTTTCTTCCTTCCTTCTAAGAGTGCATTGGGTGTAGCCACTCCAGATTACACAGAGATGCTAATTGCGAGTCATGCAAACCCCACTTGTCTTGCTCCAACCTGCCTCCAGAAGGAGGAACAGGTAAGGATCATCCTCCTTGATGCTGGGTTGCCGCGTTCTGGTTTCACACCACTATCTCCACAATTTTAGCCCTTGCTTTCAAAGAAATTTTTGCAAGACTGCCAGTTGGAATATGTAATTACTGTTTCAGCTCAGCTCTGAAAGGGGAAAACAACTGTGGCATACAAACTTCTGCCAAAGTCAGTTCTCTCACCCAGAAATGCCTGAAATACTCATCAGGGTACTTTCCATTTCACCAAAGGAGAGAAGAAGAAGGCAAAAATAATCAAAATGAATGCTTCCCACCTTATCCCTCTCAGCCGTTGTACAAAACTAAGGTGGAGAAAATGAGTGAACTGAAGTAGTGTGCATCGACACGGACATGTCCCGAATTCAGTGTTAAATGAAAAATAAGTTGCAAAAGGATATGGTTTATATAAGAAAATTTATTTCAAAGGTTAACAAATTAAAGCATACTCAGTGTTGTTCAGTGATAAAAATGTAGTAAAATTTAAAACCACCTATGGAAATCATGTATACTAGATTTCAGTTGAGTTTGTTTGTTTTGTTTGGTCCATCGGTTGTGTCACCAGCCAGAAAGGAGGGCTGGAGTGGTTACAGAGGGCAAAGGGGCTCAAACACATGGTAACGCAAGGGGACTGGATTTGGGGTGGTGAGCCTACAATGCGATGTACAAAGGATTTTTACTCTGAATCACACTCTGAAGCTTATATAATGTTATTAAGTGATGCTATGCCAATAAACTTGATAAAAATTTTAGATAATAATTGTCTTTTGCACGGTGGTAGCAGAGGAGGAGTGACAAGGAGAATGTGAGAGAGAGGACACACTAGACTTAGACTCAATTTTTACTTTGTAATTTGGTGGTGAATGTATATGAGTCTTCCTACTTTGCTTTTCTTTGTCAAAATTTCTTTAGTTACTCCAGAACTCTTTCATTTCCATTTAGGTTTTAAAATACATTTGTCATTATACACACACACACACACATACACACACAAATAGCCTGCTGAGATCTTGAATTGCATTGAATCTGTACATCATTTTAGGGACAATTAAGATGTTAATGATTTTTAGTCTTTTATTTATGAATGTGGTATATCTCTCATATATTTAGGAGTTTATCTCAGCCACATTTTCTAGGGGTTTTTTTAAAGATCTTGAACATTTTTTTTGTAAAATATAATGACAAGTATCTTTTGACTTTGGATACCATTTCAAGTAGTATTCTTTAAGTTTTATTTTCCAAACGTTTATTTTTAGCATATAGTTATATAATTGATTTTGTGTTATGCAACATCATTGAATTTAATTATTAGATCTAGTAGGTCTTTCTCCCCTAGCCTGCTTAGGATTTTTTGTCATTTTAATTGGGTCATCTATAATAATAAAATTTTAATATTTTTTTCTTTAAAACATTATTTTTATTGAATATTTTTTATTTCTATTTAAAGTGTCTAGTAAATATAAAAATGTTAATGACTTAGATATGACCCTGTTATCTTTATAGTGCTTCTACCTGGTCAGTCTTCTCTGTCATTATTTCAATTTCTGTATCTAGTTCAAACACTTACTTTCACCTTCTTTTTTCCAGTTTTGGACTGCTTATCACTAATCCCCATCTGACTTTTCTGAACCATCTCTAATTCATTACCACAACTGAATTTAATTGCATCTCCCCAAGAACTAAACACTTTCTTTTCCCTGAGTTTAAGTCAATGGTATAACCAGTAACTCCAAAAGGAATTCTTGAAATGCATTTTAATTTCCTAGTTTACTAACACCATTGCTCTCTCCACAGATGCACCCTCACTCAGCAACAATCACAAAGTTGCTCCTTAACATAATTCCTCTACTTATTTTCATTTGTCTGGACTACTGGCTGCTGGTAGATTCCTATCCTCATCTACCCTCCACATTAGATACGTTATGAATAATGACTTTTACATACAAATCTAATCATGCCCTCCTGTTTCTGGAAAAGCCTCAATGAACCCTATTTATGCTAGGATATAATTCAATTTTTTAAACTCTTCATATATACTTAGGCAGGGACAATAGATAAATTTATAAGGCAAATTTCAAAGTTCTTGTTGATTTTGATTTCATGTAGATGCTTGGCATCTTCTCTTGGATTCCCCAGATCACTTTCTGCCATCTTCCACCCTCACTACACAGTAGATGTGGATTATTGTGGTCAATAAACCCCTCGATCCTTTGGTTTCCCATTGGGTTTGGCTAGCAGGGAGATGAGTAGCACTGTGAAGAAATAGATGAGGAGATGAAGGGCTACTTTGGGTTATGCATTCCCCAGCTTTACCCCTGGAACTGCCTGTGTGCCTCACTCGAAGGTCCCTGCCATGCTTATCTTACATCTCACTGACCTTCTGAGACAACCATTGGCTCAATAGTTGCACTTAACCTTTGTCTTCAACTTTACAGTCTCTTTTTTGAACGTTTTTTGTATTATTCAAATTGACTGCATCATCTGTTTCTGCAATGATTCTGACACATATAAAGATAAAAAGGGACTTAAGTGTAGATGATTGTTTCTCTTCATAACATAAGTTAAAATACTAGTTGGTCCCTGTATAAAAATGGGAACACATAATATGGTTTCTGGTCTTGTTCTTTGCCAAGTTCATCTTATCTCACTTTCTCACTTCTACATCAGACTCCAACCATATCGGGCTAAATGTAGTCATACTTTTTGCATGCATAATATTTTATCTTGTACCCTATTTCTTTTCCTAGTACTCTGTACAAAATCTGCTTAAACAATACCTTGGCCCAACACTGTCTCCATACCTCTTCATAACTCCATAGCTCTTTTACTCCATAACTCTTCTCCCCCTGTTTTCAAGTTGACTTTTCAAATTAGGTAAGATTTTCCACTTGGGGAAAAGACAAAAACATTATTCTGACTTTTGCATAATCAGTACTCAACATTTAAGAGGCATTAAATGAAGGTTAATTGAATATTCATATAGATAAATAATTATGTATGAGTACATATAATACAATTTTAAAAGATATTGTGAGTTCTGAATTATTAAATTTGCTATTGGTATCAAACGACTTGGCATCTCCACCTGCTTAGTTTAGTACCGGCCAACTTAATGAAACACATATATAAAACTGAAAAAGTGCTCAACTTCTGAATTTGACAATATAATAGAAAAGAACTTTAAAGGACATTTAAGGGCAATATTGTTGATGAATCACAAGAGAGTTCATTTTCATAAAAGTCAGAAATGCATCGATACCCAAGAATAATACAAGAATTTAAAATGATACAAGTGGCAAGAATAAAAAGTGAAGCTAGTTTTCTGACTGATTGTGTTCATTGAAGCTCTCATATCACTCCAGTCCCTGGGACAGACGCCAGCTTCATTCATTGTCAGTATCCTTAAATTACTTCTAAAGTTTAGTCAAACACTCTTGTGCTTGAAAGCTAGCTACCACATTAGGCAGTCACTTACATGTCTGATGAGCTCAGTCAGTGTCTGTTTTTCCAATAAAGATAACAGAATAATGTCAAGTAATTATAGAAGAACAATTGTGTATGTGAGATTATACTGAGATTGCAACATTCGGGGAGAGAAGCTTTGCGTTTCTAGTTCAATATCTTATTATTTCAAGCCTATGTGAATTTTTGATTCTGGTTTTATTGTTGTTGTTTGAACCCCAGTACATTTCAGGTGAAGTGACTTCAGGCAACAAAACTACATTTGAATAAGCATTCTGCTTTTTATCACTGACCTGGATAACTATAAACGATTACAAGATATATGTAAATGCTAATATAAATGTAAATTTGAAAATAATGTACACACTCCTTGAAAGTTAGGGATTAAAATCCTTCACAAACTTTCAATGACAGTTATTAATCACATTATGGTTAGAGATACAAAGATTCATGACTTTTAGAGTTCACAATAATTACAGATGGTATGTACTCCACAATATAAATTTTCCTTCACTAATATACAAAAGGAGTAGGCTTCTGGACTTAATTTCTAGTGACAGAGAAATGATTATTCCAGTCAAACCCACCAATTCTTAGAACTCTTTTCTTATTACTAAAGCAACATTTGTCTTTCTCTAAATTATACCCATTATTAATTGATTACATGACAAACTAATCCCTCAGACATGTAATAAACTGTCAAATATTTAAAGATAATAATGTCTTCTAAGTTTCCATTGAAAGAGTCTGAGTTCACACAAACATATATCATGATTTCCTCATGTTTCCCCATCCTCAGGATTTACTTAGTTTGTCAATAACCCTTTAAAAATTGAAAGTATGGAAATGATTGTTTCATTCTCACTGTTTTATGACTTGTCTAGAGTAAGAGCTGTGAAACAAAATTAATAACTAGAAAATAACCAGATCAACATTTTTAGTCTTGCAATCAAATTTGGATTTTGAGCTGAGGAGATAATAACTTGTTAACTGGCACTCATAGGCATATAATTTTGTGATACAGTTCATTGTTTAATAGCCAAAATTCTGCCTTAAGTTATCTTTAAAAAAATACAGCATTATTTTGAACAGAGTAAAATGATCATTAATCTCTATATTTAGGCACAAACATATAGAAGTCCTAACTATATGTAAATTTTAAAAAAATATGAGAATCAGAATTGACAAAATGAAAACATTATGTTGAACTTTATATGTATATACATATAGTTGTGAATATGTAGCATATTATATATAAGTACTTAAATTATGGCCTATTTTGTTTGGATAATTTAAAGTGTTTGTCGATATTTGCAATTTGTATTTGCACATTAATTTTCAGAACTATAAGGAGTATACTGATGTCAAAAGTAAAATTTTATTCATTATATTCCAAAATCCTAACATCAATTACAATAAAGTTAATAAGCTGACAATAAATAAGTTGAGTGAATGAATTCATGAATAAGAAGAAATAAATGAGAGGGTCTTCTCAGGGAAAATCTATCAACACAGGAAAATATTTTTTTTCTGTTTTTCTTTGTATCTTTTTCT